GACTGTCCATAAAATCGTTAAATGCATTTGACATAGGGATAAAGGATAAACAATTCTTTCCGCTCAGTGGCTATTCCTCAACAAACGATAATTTTTTTGTTTGATTTAAACAATTAATTAAAATAAGAAAAAATTCAAATAATGTTCTGGATTTTTATAATATATATTTTATATGTTCCATGCATAAATTCTTTCAAGACGAACAGATAATTTCCAAATTTCTGATCCATAGGGAAGGAAAATACTAGCAATGGACGATAGGTTTGAACTTTTAAATCAGTAGTGTCTAAAGTGCCAAATCATGTGAAATCTGTTACATCATCTTTGCAAAAAACATGTTAAAGAAAAATACCAAATATTTGACGATAGGACCAAAAGAGAACATAGATTTCCGAATTCCAAAAATGTATTGCTGTTCTATTTAAATTTTTATATGAGTCTCCCTTTCTTATATAAATTTTTGAAACATTCCAGATGGATGATCATAAAAAAGATATGTGCCTGTTTGTGAGTAGCTAGCGGTATAAAACTGTAATCGTCTTTTTTCCCTTTTCTCATTTGCAATTTTTCAAGCATGACTTCATGTGCGGGTTTCAATTGTACAGATGTATTTTTAAAAGTTTATAATTTTCTTTCCTACCTTTTACAGTTTATCTCGAAACCATTTGAAATGATCATCCCAAAATAAAATGTATTCATTATTAGGAAACAATAAAATGTAACTGGTAGGTATGCTTGCATTCATTCCTGACCACTGACAATCCCTTTCTTCCTCATTTTCAAAGCATTCCTATAGTAAAATGATTAGCAATGCATTTCCATTATACATATAATAGCCCTATTCTATCAGTAATGCTTGCATTCATTCCTTAACCACTAACAATCCTTTTCTTCCTCATTTTCAATGCATTTCCTATAGTAAAACATTAGCAATGCATTTCCATTATACATATAATAGCCCTATTCTATCAGTAATGTTTTGCATTCATTCCTGACCACTGACAATCCCTTTCTTCCTCATTTTCAATGCATTCCTATAGTAAAATCATTGCTAATGCATTTCCATTATACATATAATGTCCCTATTCTATCAGTAATGCTTACATTCATTTTCCTGACCACTGACAATCCCTTTCTTCCTCATTTTCAATGCATTCCTATAGTAAAATCATTAGCAATGCAATAATTATACATATAATAAAAAATATTCTATCAGTAATGCTTGCATTCATTCCTGACCACTGACAATCCCTTTCTTCCTCATTTGCAATGCATCCCTATAGTAAAATCATTAGCAATGCATTTCCATTATACATATAATAGCCCTATTCTATCAGTAATGCTTTGCATTCATTCCTGACCACTGACCCACCAAATAGTAGCCTTATTCCCTTTCTTCCTCATTTTCAATGCATTCCTATACTAAAATCATTAGCAATGCATTTCCATTATACATATAATAGCCCTATTCTATCAGTAATGCTTGCATTCATTCCTGACCACTGACAATCCCTTTCTTCCTCATTTGCAATGCATTCCTATAGTAAAATCATTAGCAATGCATTTCCATTATACATATAATAGCCCTATTCTATCAGTAAAGCTTGCCTTCATTCCTGACCACTGACAATCCCTTTTTCTTCCTCATTTTCAATGCATTCCTATTAAAAAATCATTAACAATGCATTTAATTATACATATAATAGCCCTATTCTATCAGTAATACTTGCATTCATTCCTGACCACTGACAATCCCTTTCTTCCTCATTTGCAATGCATTCCTATCGTAAAATCATTAGCAATGCATTTCCATTATACATATAATAGCCCTATTCTATCAGTAATGCTTGCATTCATTCCTGACCACTGACAATCCCTTTCTTCCTCATTTTGCAATGCATTCCTATAGTAAAATCATTAGCAATGCATTTCCATTATACATATAATAGCCCTATTCTATCAGTAATGCTTGCATTCATTCCTGACCACTGACAATCCCTTTCTTCCTCATTTTCAATGCATTCCTATAGTAAAATCATTGTCGCAAAGCATTTTAATTATACATACAAATAGCCTAATTTTTATCAGTAATCTATCTTGCCTTCATTCCTGACCACTAACAATCCCTTTCTTCCTCATTTTCAATGCATTCCTATAGTAAAATCATTAGCAATGCATTCCATTATACAAGAAATATACATCAGTAATGCTTAGCCCTTCCTATTCTTTCCTATAGTAAAATCAAAGTAATGCATTTCCACTATATATAATGCCCTATTCTATCATAATACTAGCATTCTGACCACTGACAATCCCTTTCTTCCTCATTTGCAATGCATTCCTATAGTAAAATCATTAGCAATGAATTTCCATTATACATATAATAGCCCTATTCTATCAGTAATGCTTGTATTCATTCCTGACCACTGACAATCCCTTTCTACCTCATTTTCAATTCATTCCTATAGTAAAATCATTAGCAATGAATTTCCATTATACATATAATAGCCCCATTCTATCAGTAATGCTTGCATTCATTCCTGACCACTGACAATCCCTTTCTTCCTGATTTCCAATGCATTCCTATAGTAAAATCATTAGCAATGAATTTCCATTATACATATAATAGCCCTATTCTATCAGTAAAGCTTTGATTCATTCCTGACCACTGACAATCACTTTCTTCCTCATTTGAAATGTGTTGCTATAGTAAGCTCATTAGCAATGCATTTCCATTATACATATAATAGCCCTATTCTATCAGTAATGTTAGCCTTCATTCCTGACCACTGACAATCCCTTTCTTCCTCATTTTCAATGCATTCCTGTAGTAAAATCATTAGCAATGCATTTCCATTATACATATATAATAGCCCTATTCTATCAGTAATGCTTGCATTCATTCCTGACCACTGACAATCCCTTCCTCATTTTCAATGCATTCCTATAGTAAAATCATTAGCAATGCATTTCCATTATACATATAATAGCCCTATTCTATCAGTAATGCTTGCATTCATTCCTGACCATGACAATCCTATTTTCTTCCTCATTTGCAATGCATTCCTATATTAAAATCATTAGCAATGCATTTCCATTATACATATAATAGCCTATTCTATCAGTAATGCTTGCATTCATTCCTGACCACTGACAATCCCTTTCTTCCTCATTTTCAATGCATTCCTATAAGTAAAATCATTAGCAATGCATTTCCATTATACATATAATAGCCCCTATTCTATCAGTAATGCAAATTTTCATTATTTGACCACTGACAATCCTTTCTTCCTCATTTCAATGCATATTAAAATCATTCAATGCCGATATAGTAAAAATCATGTACCAATTGGATTAGGTAAAATTACACATATAAAACTATGAATTAAAAATATGAGAAACTGAAACTTTCTTCCTCATTTTGATGCATTCCTGAAGTAAAATCATACAATCCTTACATATAATATAAAAACAAGAACAAAACTTCATTCCTGAAATCAATTTTTCCTCCTCTTTTCAATGATTTGTAGAGGTAACAAAAGGACTATCTTGTGAATAACAGATTGCAGATATCGTCATTTCTCTTCCTCATTTTCAATGCATTCTATAGGAAAATCAAAAGGCAATGCATTTCCTACAAGTGGCTTAAATCAGTAAGTTTGCCTTCTTATTCCTTGACCCGTCTTATTTATGCATCCCTATTTAAATTACAATCATTTTCCTAGCTATAAAGCAAAAATGTAACTATTTTACAGTGATGACAACTCATTTTATAAGGAAAAAAAACATTCAACATCCATAGAAGATCTCTCCACAGAAGTAGATAGATGCGCCGACCACCCGGTTCACACTCCTCTTTTGAACAGAAATAGAAGCTTATCCCTTGTTTTGAACAGGAATAGATGTTTAACCTTTATTTAACAAAGGACTATCTTTAGAATAACAGATTTCAGGTTCCTTTTGATTCTGTAAATTTGATCAACATCGAAAAAAAGAATGTTTCTCACTGTTTTTTTTCATTCATGAAGCCATGTTTCATCAACATTCCCTACATTCACAGATAGAAGGTTTGCTATCGATATAGTTCACTTTCGGGTTATGGGGTCTTTTGAACAGACCAGGAATAGAATGATGTTAACCTTTATTTTCTGTTTAGGATTGGATTTCAGGTTTCCTTCTAAATTTATCAATATCTACTTATGTTTCTCTTTTTTTTTCTTTCATCAACAGGAGTAGATAGGTTTGCTATCGCCCGGTTCACTCTCCTCCCCGGTCTTTTGACCAGGAATAGATGTTTAACCTTTATTTTCTGTTTAGGATTGGATTTCAGGTTCCTTCTAAATTTATCAATATCTACTTATGTTTCTCTTTTTTTTTCTTTCATCAACAGGAGTAGATAGGTTTGCTATCGCCCGGTTCACTCTCCTCCCTGGTCTTTTGACCAGGAATAGATGTTTAACCTTTATTTTCTGTTTAGGATTGGATTTCAGGTTCCTTCTAATGTCTACTTCAGCTGTATACTTGTAATGTCTCCACCTAAAACTAAATTTATCAATATCTACTTATGTTTCTCTTTTTTTCTTTCTTTCATCAATAGAAGTCGATAGGTTTGCCTATCGCCCGTTTTACACTTCTCCCCGGTCTTTTGTGCACTCTCCCTAGGCATTTAGAGAATAAATAGAGGTTTATCACTTGTTTCCTGTTCAGGATTGGGATTCCTGTTTCATCAAAAGTCTATTTCCTTCTATTTCACTTCCGGTGCCCCCCTCCTTTCATCTTGGTGGCATTATCTCCTTGCTTTGCGTATGCGTCTCTTACTATGTGACCCTCTACCTCGAGTGGCTCTCGAGCCTTGTACAGAGTGAATGTCATTGAAAAAAAAAGAAAAAGAAAGAAAGGAATGGGAACACAATATTTCTCTGTTGATAATATGTGAAAAAGGCCATAAACTTTTTCTATTTTTATTTATTTATTTCAGGTACCCCAATACTTTAGAACACATGACAACCCCGAAGGAAATCTTTAAAAATACAATGAAGGTGTTGAAATACCTGGTAAGAATTATTAATTAGTTTTTCATTGATCTTTGAGGTAGCATGGAACGAAAATAAAGCATAAGCCTCTGTCACCCTTCACAGGATGTTGGCGGCAAAATACTTTCACAAACTGCAAAATGACCTAATTTTATAAAAAAAATAGAAATCGATTACACTTTGTTACACCAATGGGTCTAAAACTGAACGTATGGTGAAGAAACTAAAGCGGTTGTTTCGATTAATTTTCACAAGGGTTTAATTTGAAATACTTAGTTTTCTTGGATTATTGCGCTGGTTAGAGTTCGACAATAGATTAACAAATAATTTTACGCTATCGAGAATATCAATGCTATATACTGATGCCATGTTTAGTTACATTCCTTATCAGAACAGAACCGGTGCGAACACCGGGTCGTTTGGGTATGAAGAAATAAGATCCACCATGAAATAGTCGGGATGGCGAGCTGAACGGTGTTAGTTATGAAAATGATCCGTTTTGCCAGCCAACTATTAATATATCGGGCTAAAAAAGCAGCATATATGATTTCCGTGCGATATTGGGGATTTGTGAGTTGTTAGATGCCTATTCATTAGAGTTAACCAACCAATGAGAAGTAAAACCACCAATAAAGCATGCCACAATTATTTGGTAAAAGTTTGTTACTGGTTCATAAACAGACTTTATGATGTAGTAAAAAAGTACCAAAGAGAGGTAACAAATGACGCTGATTTGAAGAACAAACGAAAGGAAACTTGACTATTGAAAACATGGCACCTCAAGGCGGTGTAATGGTTAGCAAGCTTGGCTCGCTAGAACAATTACAACTGAGTAGTGAGTTCGATCCTCACTGGGTGCCCCCTAATTTCGGCCTTGTGCCACATGTAAGCTACGCTTGGAAAATCACTGTATAATTTAGTTTATAACTAAATAATTATATATATAGTTTTCAATGGTCAAGTTTCCTTTCGTTTGTTCTTTGAAGGTTAGTTCGATGGTTAGGACTAGAGTTGTAAGTGTTGACAAAAAATTAAACGATTTTTGTTGATAATTATAAAATTTAAAACAATATACACGACTAGCAACTTGTAAAAATCTGTGATTTATTTCCGAAAAAATGTTATTTCTTTTGAATAACTATTTGAATGTTAATGGCCTTTGTCAAAACTATAGCAAATACGAAAATATTCATTGGTTGCTGGGATATTTATATCTTATCTAGGAATGAGACATAGTTATTTCCAATTAGTCAATTGTTTTGTTTCGTTTGCTAATTTACAGATATCCTTTGAATATTTGTATCGGGTAGCATATGTTGAAAAATCCAACCGCCTTTTTGTTTTGTTGCTCATCGCCCACCTAACAGAAGAAGGAAACTTCTGACTAATCTCTTTGCGTGAGTCGTTGCGGTGTTGTGCAAGCTTGACTATGATCCCAGCACGGACATTGCTGACATCTTAACATCTATGTGCGTCTAGTGTAATGGATAACGGCTCGGTTATTGCTCGCTCATTTCCACTGAATGCAAATAAACTTGGAGCCTTAAACCTAACCTACCCGCTGATTATGTTGCAACTGCGGCTGCTGTCTGTCATGTTTTGATTTACGCTTATTAGTCCGTTGTTCTTAGTCTTCCCTTATCTGATTTATAACCCAAAAGCCATACGGGATATTTACTCTAGTCCCCAGTCATTCATCAAGTATATACATGCACGTGTTAACATCTATAATTAATTAAGATCAGAAGCCATAACAACTTAGTTCGCACGACCGTTACGCTCTGCCAATACCTCATAAATAGTGGACTAATCCGTTTTAGTTGCGTGGAATGAGGGGAAAGTCTCTATTTTCTTTTGTTTTCCTTGGTCTAACCTTATGTGAGATATTAACCTCCCCTCAAATGTTATTTCTTTTGGATAACTATTTGAATGTCAAAACTATAGCAAATATAAAAATATTCCTTGCTTGCCAGGATATTTATATCTTATCTAGGAATGAGACATAGTTATTTCCAATTAGTCACTTGTTTTGTTTCGTTTGTTAATTTACAGATTTCCTTTGAATATTTTTATCGGGTAGCATATGTTGAAAAATCCAATCACCTTCCATTTTCTGTTCAGTTGCTCATCGCTGACCCAACAGAAGAAGGAACACTCTGACTAATCTCTGTTTGCATGAGTCGTTGCGGTGTTGTGCAAGCTTGACTATAAACCCAGCACGGATATTGCTGCCATCTTAACATCTATGTGCGTCTAGTGTAATGGATAACGGCTCAGTTATTGCTCGCTCATTTCCACTCAATGCAAGTAAACTTGAAACCTTAAACCTAACCTGTCCGCTGATTAGGTTGCAACAGATGCTGCTGTCTGTCATATTTTGATTGCTGCTGGTATTGAAGAACTAGACGATAACCCTAGACATGAGCAGTGAAACAAGAATGTATATCCCTGTAGATTAAATAAAGGGTTCAGTTCAGAATTCCCTGTAGATAACCCAGACAGATATACATCTGATGAAGGCCGGAGGGAACAACGGCTGAAACGTTGTGATAACAACAAAGAAGAGGAAAACTGTCCGATTATAAATAGTTTAAATAAAAAAATACTAAAAATAATACATATTTTTAGAAATATAGTGTTGATCGCCCGGTGAAATTTTATTTTTGGACATAACTCATGTGTTTATTACTTACACCACACGCACATTCAAATTTATAGCACATTATATTAATAAGTAGTTCCTCATTTGACCAGGCTCGACGTTGCTTAACTTTGGTGATCGTACAAGAACCGGTGTTTCAATGTTATATGAGCGTAAGCCCTTTACATTACCCGCACATCCAAGCTACAGTTTCTGGTATTTCCAAACGGTCACCCATCTAGTTACTGTCCAGGCTCGACGTTGCTTATCTTCGATGATTTTAAGAAAACCGTTGTTTCAATGTGATATGTCTGTAAGGCCTTTAAACAACTCGTATATCAAAGCTTACACATCTGATATTCCCAGGCGGTCACTCTTCTAGGAAATGGCCAGGCTCGACGTTGCTTAACTTTGATGATCGTAAGAGAACCGGTGTTCCAAAGTTATCTGAACGTAAACCCTTTATATTACTTGTATATCCAAACAGTCACCCATCATGGTACTGACCAGGCTTGGCATTGCTTAACTTCAATTATCGTAAGAGAAACAGTGTTTCAGTGTGATATAGCCGTAAACCCTTTACACCACCCGCACATCCCAGCTTACAGCACCTGGTATTACTAAGCGATCATCCATCTCAGTGCTGACCAGGCTCGACGTTACTTAACTTTGGTGATCGTACGAAAACCTGTGTTTCAATGTTATATGATTGTAAACCCTTTACATTACCCGTACATCTAAGCTAACAGTTTTTGGTATTGGCAAGATGTCACCCATCTAGGTACTGTCCAGTCACGGCGTTCCTTAACTTCGGTGACCATACGAGAAAAGGGGTTTCAATGTGATATAACCGTAAGATCCGCACATTATCCACACATCCAAGCTTACAGTATCCGGTATTCCCAAGCAGTCACCCATCTAGGTACTGACAGGGCTCATTAAATGGCAATTGCTTGCCAAACAACATAGTATACAAAGCCACCATAAAATCAGCAGATAAGGAAGAAAAAAAATATATATAGGAACTTAACCACCCTGGAAACAGATAAACCACGCACACAAAATATCCTTTACAAATAGTAAATACGCGAGCAGCACAATACTATCTAAACATATATAGGAAATAAAAAACTAAAATCAAATCACGCCAAAAATATAATGGAAAATAAGAAAAACAGCATCAGCCTACAACAAGAAATCTAAAAAAACTATCATACTAAAACTGTAAACTAAAACTATAAACTAAAAAACTATAAACTCTGGAGGATAAAATAGCTACAATTACCTTTCCAGGCCAACACAAACTACTAAATAAACGATTTATCGCAAAATGCAGGCCAGAAAATAATTTTTTACTACTTTATTGCCATATTCATGATATGTCAGCTGTTGTATGGTCGGGCCTTCTTCAGGACCTGTCTATATTTCTGAGATGAAGTATTGTAATTATTTACACTATTTACATTGTTCGGACTCTTGTCCTCATCTTTGTTGCCAGTAAGTTTATAAGTTCCAAAAATTCATACAATGAAGGACACATGTCCGAGTGGCTAAAAGCGTTGGTTGGATCCAGTGACTTGACTAAAAAAGTTGAGTTCAATAACTGGCTACTTCAGGGGTGAACAAAAACTTTGAGAGTTGGATTAAAGGGAGATAACTGAAGCATCCGAAAGAGATGTGGCACGCGGAATTAGAACAATCTACGAAATAAAGAGTTCTAATCACCTGAATGTACAACGGCCGAAACGTCTTTAATATGGCAACAAACATGAGGACATGGTCCGAACAATGTAAATAGTGTAAATAATGTAGATAATGTAACATATTTAGACAAAAACAATATTTTAAAATAAACAAGTAACATAACCAACCCCTGCAATAAATGTTAATAATAAAAAAATAAACAACAAAAAATTAAATTAACAAATTTCATAAATAATAAATTTAATAATAATAAACACCAAATAATTAAAAAATCAATAATAAATCATGAGTAAAAAGTTTTTAAAAAATTGGCACTATTTAGTAGTTATACATAAGCATATTCGAATCCACAGTTATTTCCGACCAATAGCCTCTAAAATAATTTGAAATATATTCGATACCGCTCCCCCAATAACCGTTAGAATAATACAATAGACCTTGCTATTCATAATGCACCATCGACCAGCATATATAAATAGTCGAACCAAAATAGAACACACACAGCCTGAAAACTGTGTTTAAGCAAAAAAAAACAAAAAAAAACTGACAGTTGGTAACGAGTGTTGACCTCAGTATTCATTTTTATATCTGTCTATAGATATATAAATTTTTATATATCAAGAACAATTTTATTTCATTTATATAAACTAAATTTATCACGACAATTGAAAATAATTTATATAAGTGTGACATAACAATTGTCTTAACTACGTCTAAAACAAAAGAATTAATTAATACAAAACGAAAATAATAATCTAAAACTTGAAGGAGGAATTTACTCTGTCACCGGTAATAATTGCCACAAGGACTATATAGGAGAAACCTCAAGAAATGTAAATGAAAATTATATGAACACAAAAGGGATCATTTAAAAAACAACACACGCAATGCATTAGTAACTCACCGTAATGATACTGGCTATAATTTTTTTTATTTGAAAAAGGCTACTGTAATTAAAAGAGTAATCGACTAAGATAAAAGATATATAGGAACCAGGGTAAATTTATGTCCAGGTTCTTAGAACATTTCACCGTTCTTGGCAGATTTTCTGTTATCACGATGTGGGATATTTAGTAACAAAAGTGTTGGAAAAATGTCGGGGAGTCCTCTTTGCGTGTTAGTAGTTAGCTTGTTGTGTGACTGAAAAAAAGAGCGTACCCCAGTGAGAAGTCAGGCTGAGATCTCGCTTCAGAATAAACCGACTGCACCTCTGCAGCGGAATAAAACCACCCAAATGAGGCGTCCTCGATAAGACGATATCCGCGTCCTGGGTAAGACGAAAAACTACATCCGACAGCAAGGACTCTCATCAGGAGGTTTTGAGGAGCGTGGAACCACCTCTTAATTGCTGGTGTTCCCAGGTCCACTCTGATTTTGTTTATTTAGTACATGTTAATAGGGGTCCCAGCTATGTTTAAAATAGTTAACCCCACCAAACTGGGGTCAAAAACATATGAAATTGTAAAAAATAGGTTTTAATACCAGCAATACATTTTTGAAAAAAAGTGTTACCAGAAATACATTTTTGAAAAAGTGTTACCAGGAATACATTTTTGGAAAAAAAATGTTACCATCAATACATTTTTGAAAAAAAAAATGTTACCTGCAATACATTTTTGAAAAAAATATTACCAGCAATACATTTAAAAAAATATGTTACAAGCAATACATTTCGAAAAAAAAGTGTTACCAACAATACATTTTTGAAAAAAAGAATATTACCAGCAATACATTTTTTGAAAAAAATTATTACCAGCAATACTTTTTTGTAAAAGTGTTACCAGGGATACATTTTTGGAAAAAAAATGTTACCTACAATACATTTTTGAAAAAAAAGTGTTACCAGCAATATATTTTTATACAAAACATGTTACCAGCAATATATTCAGGAAAAAAAAATGTTACCAGCAAACACATTTTTGATAAAAAGAAAAAAATACAATCAATAGAAATCTTGTCGGCATTAAATAACCCATTGAGGTGTTGATATGCCGTAAGACAAAACTAACAAAAACAAACAATCAAGCGGAGATCGATCATCGGATCTGGGAAGAAAAGCAGCTTCGCTCAAAATAAAAGAAGGGTCATCCGTGGTCATCAATGGTGAACAATTGCAGGCAATCTATATAATGTTCTGTTTAAGTTCCTAAGGATTCTGTTTTCATGAGTTTTTTAATTTTTTATTTATTTATTTTTTTTTTCGAGGATACTATTTTGCCCAATGGAAGTTTCGTTGTTATTACTGGGCTGGTTGATGGCAGAATACTCTACAAGAGCATGCACGACAGAATCCATCCAATTGGAAGATCACGTAACGATGTCACTTACAAAGACTTTTTCGACTATTTCGACTGCCTGCAGGTAAGATTCTCTGTTGAATTCGCTTTATATTTCCCCGTCACTAACATATGTTATGTTTTCCAACCAAGAAGCCTATATAATGTAAAGCAATTGCAAAGGTTGTCGAGCCATATCTAAACTATTTAACTAATAATTAAGATAATCCTGGGTCTGACGATAAACTACATCTGGCAGCAAGGCATCTGATTAGGAGACTAGAGGTTTGAGGAGCATGGAAGCATCTATTATTTTCTATTATTCCCAGTTCCTCCCTGACACGGGGTGGTGACACCTGCTAGTGACCCACCTATGAGAAAATAGTGAACCCCAAACAAAACCAAAACACTATAGTAAAATGACCAACAATATCTATTTACAATAAAATGACCAACAATATCTATTTACAATAAAATGTCCAACAATACTCATAGGATCAGCAATACATAGTAACACCTCTATGGGTCATTTATTACCAAAATCTAAATATTTTAAGCAATTTTATGGCTTCAACTAAATATATTTTGAACGCAATTGTATGCCTTCAACTACATATATGTATTGTTGATCATTTTGTTTGTGGCATATCAACATCTCTATGGGTTATTTAATGCCGAAATCTAAATATTTTGAACACAATTTTATGGCTTCAACTAAAAAATATTTTGAATTAAAATTGTAGAAATTCAACTACATATGATGTATTGTTGGTCATTTTGTTTAGCGGCATATCAACATCTCTATAGGTTATTTAATACCGAAATAAAAATATTTTGAACACAATTTTATGGCTTCAACTAAATATATTTTTTTTTGCAATTGTATGCCTTTACAGATAAAATATGTATTGTTGGTCATTTTGTTTAGCGGCATATCAACATCTCTATGGGTTATTTAATACCGAAATCTAAATATTTTGAACACAATTTTATGGCTTTAACTAAATATATTTTAAACGGAATTACAAATTTCAAAAATATATTTAGTTGAAGCCATAAAATTGTTCAAAATATTTAGATTTCGGCTTTAAATGTTAAATTTCGTGCATTTTTATGGCCTTTTAGGCTCAAGCGGTGAAGCACCAAGATTTTGTGAATTTCCTTTTTGTGCGCCTGTTTGGCCAGGATAACACTTTCAGGATGTAATAAATATATCGATTCAAAATAGGGGAAAACTCGGAGGAAGAGGATTCACAACATGGCACAAGGCACAATTTTTTAAATGGCACCAACTTCTGCTGTCACGGCTCTGTTAAAAAACTCTCAGCTCAAACGGTATTTGACGTAGGCAAATTCTTGTAGCTTCTGGGATGTGAAATTTATCGTAATAATCTGCCTTGGATCTGTCCCGTCAGATTTATAACCTCTCATCGGACTGTCCTTTTATGTGATGTGAAAATTGCCTCGTCCGGAGATGAGACTCTGTCGCTTTCTTTTCAACTCTCTTCTTCTTTTTTAACTGCTGATGGCAGTCCTTTTATTCTCAATCGGGTCATAAAATTCTACTCCAGCCAAAGTTTTAGGTGCTAAAAAACTAGATTCACAAGATCTTGGTGCTTCGCATTGAGCCTCAAAAACATAAAAAACAAAACTTTTTTTTTTTTTACAATAAAATTAAATTTCAAAATGTTATTTTTTTTACATTTTCAACACCTCAGTTTCTGAGCTCTTGACTTGTATAGAGTGAATGGCAAACAATATATGTAAAAATTTTGTTGGCTCCTGAAAGTGATTTCCTGCCCAAAGAATTGCACAAAAAGGAAATTAACAAGATCTTGTCGCTTCGCCGCTTGAGCCTAAAAGGCCATAAAAAATGGACGAAATTTAACATTATTTTTATAACAAAATTAATTTTTTTTTATCTTACTTCGTACTGTTCGTGCAGAAACCCCCTTCAGCGTGCCTCTAGCTTGAGTGGCTCTGGTGACTTGTATAGAGCGAATGGCAAACAGTAAAACGGAGTTTCAAAAAGAATTTTCCCCATGTTACCGTTTTTTTAATTGTCTTCACTCTTCGGCAATGTTTATTGTTTTAAAAAAACGATGATTAGAATTGGAATAAAACCTAAAATTATAACTATAAGGAGATACTTATTATTTAACATTTTATAAATTTCGAATCGATTGGCAATTCAACGATGTTTTGCCAAGCATTTCAATAAAGGATAAAATAAATGGTGTAAATAAACATTCTAAGAAATAGTACTGATTATTTTTGTTGCCAATTCTCAAAAACAACAAAAAAAAATTCTAATTCTAATCATCACTTTTTAAAAGAATAAACTCCGAGGGAGTGTAGGCAGTTAAAATAAAAGCGGTGTCACGGGAAAACGGACCTTTTGAAACTTCGCCTTATTGTGGGCGCGTAAGTCCAAGTAAACATTAGTAAAAATTATTTCCTCTTTTCACTACACTTTCTTTTTTTAAGGCCATTCACCCCAAGCAAGGCGGGAGTGCCACTAGTAGGCAAATGGTTACAGAGGATTCGGAACAAGAGTAAAGAGGCATTTTTTGGGGGAAGGACACAGAGAAGGGCGGGGAACAAGCTCAGTGTCAGCTATCAATTGACATTACACTTGAATATTTGAAGGTTATTGTCATCGGTGCAGCAAGTAAGAGGAAGGGAGTTCCACAGACGGGAAGTGCAAGAGAAGAAGCAGTTTGAGTAGAAGTAGACGTTTTGACAGTCAAATGGTGGGACCGAGATGCCAGTCTGGTAGACAGAGGGAAGCCACGGCACGTCCGTGGGATAGCGACTGTAAACTAGGTGCCAGATCAGGACCTATAATCTTGCATATTCGTCTCTAGATTTTGTCGAGGACCAGGCCATGTATTACAGCAATATTCCATGCAAGGACGAATGGTTGATTTATAAGTTTGAAGGATGGACTCACACGAGAAAAAACTTTCTGTCACGACACAGAGAACCATCTTTCCTTGCGATGGATGAAGCTATTGATTCAATGTATTTATTCCACGTCATGTTGAATATACTTCCTCAACATTATCAGTACATTGAACAAATGCCGATAATATTCGTCACTATAATTGTGTTATGAAATGTTCAAACTGTTGCCTCTTTATTTGATTCGAGTCGACCGTCAAAAATACACGCTAACAGGAGACAGATATCTGCAAGAGATCAAATAATAATTGTGATGACTCAATCTGAAGATTAAAAACATCTAAGCCGGCTATGGTTGTTAGTAAAAGGGTCAAATTAAAATGCAAATTACAAAAAGAGGATGCCAAAAACATGCAATTGATTCAATATAGTTGTTCCCCATCAGGTCTGTTACTTCGATTTACATGCCTTTATAATTTGCAAGTTTTCTAAATTCTTTTTTAGAACCTATCTATATTTCTGAGATGAGGTATGTGGATAAAGGCGTTGGTTAGATCCAGTGACAGAAGCTAAATAGTCTGAGTTCAATACTCGGTTAAGACAGGGGAGAACTTGGAGAGGGAAATTAACAGGAGATAACTGATAACTGACATCCATTAGACATGGCACGTGGAAGTAGAACAGTCTACCCCAGTGAGCGAAATAAAGGGTTCAGTTCGAAATTCCAACCACCTGAAGAAGGCCGGAGCGTATAACGGCCGAAACGTTGTGATAATATGGCGACAAAGATTAGGACAATAGTCCGAATAATTTAAAAAAAAAACAGTCTGAAACGCAAATTACATACCGGGTGGGGGGGGTACCAAATAAGTACAATAATTTAAATATCTGGGAAGTACCTTAACAGAGGAAGGAAGTGCGACACTGAAATCCGAATAGCGAAAGGTGCCTTCCAAAAGCTAAGCAAAGTATTAAGAAACAAAAAAAAAAATTGTTAGAAACAAAGAAAACAGTACTTAACTGTTACCAGTGCTCCAGTAGCGCAGTGAATGCTGAACAATCTCCTCAAAGATGTAAAAGAGATTTGAAGCAACAGAAATGTGGTTCTACAGAAGGATGCTGAGGATATCACGGGGAGATTACGTAAGCAACGACAAAGTTTTAGAGAAAATGGAGACAAAAAGAAAACTTATACTTAACATCAGGAAGAGGCAGTTGAAATTTTTAGGGCATATGAGGAAAGACGGTTTGGAAAATCTGTTACTCACAGGAGATGTTGAAGGCGAGGAGGAAAGAAGAAAACAACACATAACCTACTTAGTGAGCTGGGGTAAATGGATAGCGGAACAGAGTTTAGGAGAGATAACAAAAAGACATAGTTTATTAAGAGCTACGAAGGGCAGGAAATTATGGAGAGCCATGATCGCCTAAAATGAAAGGACATGGTACGTAGATGAAGAAAGAGAAGAAAAGAACCAATTTTTGTAAGTAGACGATAGAAAAAAAGCTTTAGAAGAGACAACAAAAGACAAAATTTATTAAGAGCTACAAAAACAGGAAATTGTGGAGAGCCATGACCAGCCAACGTCCTGAAGGGACATGGCACGTAGAAGACGACGAAGAACCAAATTCTGTGAATAGATGATAGAAAAAGTTTAGAAGAGACAACAAAAAGACAAAGGACAGGAAATTGTGGAGAGCCATGATCGCCAACGTCCTGAAAAGGCATGGTACATAGAAGAAGAAGAACCAGATTTTGTAAATAGATGATAGAAAAAGGTTTAGAAGAGACAACAAAAAACGAAATTTATTAAGAGCTACAAAGGACAGGAAATTGTGGAGAGCCGTGATCAAAAACATCCTTAAGGGAAAACGATAAAAAATAGTCATTTGTTGAGTTAAAGTCTTAAACAGTTGGTCCAAAGTAATCGCTGTGGTTTAGACAGTATTTTTAAATTGTTGGTTCTCCGTGAAAGTCTGTGGTTCAAAAAAAGACTTTCATCGTTAGTGAAGATTCACTGACCGTCTTTGTTGTTGGAGATGATTCATTTGACATATGTTTCTTTCAGCACGCACGGGTTGGGTGGGGAACAGGTTGCGAAGAAAAAGCTATGTAGCAACGTCGGATTGGAGACTGTCACATCTCTCTTGTGCTTGAATAAATTGTCGTCTTTGAAAGTCGAAGTCTGGGTTTTCATAAGTAATTTTACCCGAAAGTAGGCTCTAGAAAAATAGGGATTTAATTCCCTCTGATTAGTCAAATATTTCACACGGTGGTGTTAATTTCTAACCAATAGACACTTTGATTTGAACGGTGTGTGTTTTATTGTAGAATCTTTTTAGGGGAGTTACAACTCTGAATAAATAATTATAAAAACACCCACTAACATTTATATATATACAAAAATGCTCGTTAAAACGAGAAACAGCAAGACGCGGAAACAACAAAACAAGCATTATTTATTATCTGGTTGTTATTTTGTGTTGGAGAAACGAGAGACAGTAAAATTATCTGTTTGGGCTGATATGTAGATCACATATGGATCGGAATCCAACAGAAGGATAAGATAAAGAATAAGCAAAGTGTATACAGTTTTTCTCGTACCTTTTTATGGATGTGTTTAATGAGTGTCCAGATAATTTAGTTTGAAAAATACAACAGGTGTTTGGGGTTTTCTTACCTCGAATTTTTGTTGAGTGCTAAATGATAAATGTTACTATAATGGCCTGAAAAGGAAAAGGAGACGAAATTTTCGTTGACGCACATGTTGACGACCTGCCCGTGCGAACTGCTTGTCTGGTAGTCAGAATGTCATGTGTGTGTGTGTAGATTGTGTAAAGGTGGGGTCGATTCTCATTGGTTTAGAATTATTTAATTAATGATAATTATAATAATTATTTTAATATAATTATTTTTTGACACTACTTGTAATTAATTTTTATTCATTTATTTTTATGGGCACACCATCATGTTTATAAATATTGTTTGATATTGGTTAAAAAATAAATGTTAGGCGTGTTTTAATATGGGATGCATGTGGGTATGTAATTGTGTTGGAAATAGAGTTTTTCCTAGAGGTTAAATTGTCTGACAGACTGGGTCCTATAGCTTTGGTTGGCAACCAGTGTACCTCAGAAAGTATTTTAGCTTTACTGTGGCAATTCTTCTGTCAAATCAGGGAGGATATTAATATGTAGTAGCTCTGGAGTGATCACTTTGTTACTTAATGACATTATCCAATAGAATTCTATATAAGTCAGTCATGGATTGAAACGAAACACGATTGTCCAAAAGTGTACCACGCATGAAAGCAAAAGAATGAAAGAAGCCAGCAATGTGATTTGATAAATAGCGTTTTTTAATGTAGTATTAATAACTGATTTAAACAATAAATACAATTTTCCAATGCAATTTCTATTGTAAAAAAACATTAGCAAAGGCAATTACTCTATCAAATATCAGCAGCCAGTGCAATTTTTACAGACGGAAAGAATGGCCAGTGCAATTTTTACAGAAGGAAAGAATAGCCAGTGAAATTTCTACAGAAGGAAAGAATGGCCAGTGAAATTTCTACAGAAGGAAAAAAAATTTGGCCACAACTTTATCATGTTTTGAATTTCAAAAAGTTGAAAAGGAAAGAATGGTCAGTGGTTGAGGTTCGATAAAAATGGTCAGTGAAATTTCTACAGAGGGAAAGAATGGTCAGTGAAATTTCTACAAAGGGAAAGAATGGTCAGTGAAATTTCTACAGAAGGAAAGAATGGTCAGTGAAATTTCTACAGAAAGAAAGAATGGCCAGTGAAATTTCTACTATTTCTAAAAAGAATGGCCATTGAAATTAATACAGAACGAAAGAATTAATTATGAAATTTCTATAGTAAAATTCAATGACCAATGAAATCTAAAGGTAGAAATCATTGGTCAACGAAATATCTATACCAAAATTCATTGGCCAATGAAACTTCTAAAATAAAAAAAAGTTGGCTAATGAAATTTCTATTTACACTATATTTTGACTATTGTCCTCATCCTTGTTGTTGCTATCACAATATTTCGACCGTATGCCCTCTAGACTTCCTCAGGTGTATATTGATGTGGGTAGTTCTGGAACTCAGAACTGAATCTTTTATTTAATCAATTTGCTTAATTCAGTTGCAATAAAAAGAAAATATCTGGCCAGTACAATTCCTTAAAAACCATTATCTCTAAACTACAGTATGTATTTTTGAGTGGGTTTCCGCTTGATTTATGTTTTTATGGCTTATCGACCCTTTGTAGCGTATTGAAATTGGAAACATTTTTTAGATTGTAAGAATTTTTGTGATAACAATTTTAACAATTTTTTGGTGGTAACAAGTTCTACTATCAGATAAGTTCTACTCCTCAGATAAGTTTACGAACAAAAGTTTTTATTGTCTATTTTTTTTCGTTTTATTTCTTGTTTTGTTTTTCGCATTTATTGTTTTCTTTTTGTTTCATCTCGTTTTTAGTTCAGCGTGTGTGCTGGTTATAATTATTCAAACAAAACACGATGAAGATTACGAAACAATTTTAATTTGAAAATTGTCTGGGTTTTGGAAGTCGAACTTCCTTTTATTTGAAAATTGAGAAAGGACATTAACATTTGCAAGCATTTGAAATTGAAAAGGGTGCATAGTAAAGGAAATTGAAAGTAACCCATAGAAAAAGAGATGTAGACTCGATTCGAGAATATATTCATCTGCAGGAAGGTTGTTCTTGACTTGTGAACAAATTTTATGTTATTCAAAGTAAGATCACATGGAAATCGGAAGATTTAAATGAAACTATTTAATGTCCTTCTGATTTGATGAGAATATTGGTTTTTGCAGGTACAATGATTAAAGCCAATTGTCTTTACAAGAAAAGAATTTTGACCTGTTGCCGACATGAAGGAAAGCTGTTAAACAGGAGATTTTTGTCAAATGGTTTACTTAAAGACATTCAAAATGTGAAAGCATACAAGCGTTGAAAGATGTAAACAAATGTAAAAATTGACAGTTAACAAACACATTACTCTTTAGTATTTACACAAACACACACACACACACACACACACATATATATATATATATATATATATATATATATATATATATATATATATATAATTATAAACATTAAGTCAGCATATAGGCAACAGGCTATTTCATGCTCAACATGAATAAGCCATATGTTGGGTTCTTCTTGTCGAGAAAAAAAAAGACTAATTTCGACAATTCAAATTGAATTGATTAAATGGACGATTGTGTCTAGACATGAAAAATCTTTGGTCTGAATATGAGTGTTGATTACAATTTTCACTTTTATAGCAGAAACATAGGATGGCTCCATATCTGATATTTATATACTTTATATATAAATATATATATATATAAATTATATTTATCATTTATATATATATATATATATATATATATTATGGGTTAAAAAGGTTAATTATCAGAGTTGAATCAGACCAGGAAATAGATGAGAAATTTTGACTCAATTCATTCCACAGAAAATAGATAAATAAAAATAATATTTACATCTTTTAACTTAAAAACAAGGAGATCAGATTGAACATTGGATTGGGATAGATAGATAGGATCAGACGATTTTTTTATCATTGACCTCCGAACGAAAAAAATGGATAAATACATATTTTGGATATAGATATATAAATAATATATATATATATATATATATATATATATATATATATATATATATATATATATATTTCAATTAAGCCCCATCATCAATATATTTGTAATATCCTTGTTTTTTTCTTTAATAAATATCCTTCTAAAATTCTATTTTTTTTTTTCATAATCCTCCTCCTCCCCCCTTTCTATCACACCTTACGTCGAGTGTTTATTCATTTTTTTAGCGTTCATTAGATATTTTTTTAATAAAACGTTGGGAGGTCAATTAATAAAAATCTCTTGTTGATACCCTAAGGTTGAAATCCTTGGTAACGGATTCAACTTATCGCCTGAATTTAAAATATATATATATATTCATTCTCTATACTTCTCCAATTCCCTCTCGTGTGACGTCATGTGTGACGTCATGAGATGCGGTCCGATTTTCGCTTCTAGCGTCTTATATGCACGTGTTTATCGTTGCTTAGAAATCATCTATGTAAACATTCACAGACTTTCATCACTGTCTTGTCCGTATATTGCTTAATGTTGTTGTAATTGACATCTTTGATAATGGCTTATGTAAGCCGAAAGCTTAGATTGTATTAAAAAAATATGGATCAATATTGTGAATTTCTTTCTTCGTTCAACGATAATGTTATTAAACTTATCAGATGTTATGAAAAAAAATTTACATAAAATAAATAGACAACACTTGTCTATATTATTTAATGAAAATGTATATATATATATATATATATATATATATATATATATATATATATATATATATATATATATATATATATATAACCATTTTTTATTAGATATAAATATTTAAATTTATTGCATAATTTGGTTCCATATTGATTACTATGGAGAAGAAAATTGTTTTCCAAAGTTTTACATGAAGTATTGACTTTCACAATTATCATTATACAGGAAGTTGTTTCTAAAACAAATATTTACATACTATGAAGGAAATCAAAAGAAGTTACAATGATTTTCAGTTTTTTTATAATTATATTGAAAAAGCAATTTTCAAAGGACCATGATTTTCCCTTGTTTGAAATGACAGTGTACGAAGATAGTCCGACATATAAAATTTTCTATTTGATTCACATTTTAAATTAATTCATTTAAATTTGTGGAGGATAAATGATCTCAAAAATTGAAATTAACAGTGCACGAAAAAAAACAAATGCTTTTCAAATAATCTTTGACATTTTACGCTTTCCTTTTTGGAGGATTTTGATCTTCAATTGCTTTCATATTTACATTCGTAGGAAGTTGTTTTTGGACCAAACATCTAACAAATTAAATGACAGTGCACGAAGAAAACATGCTGCGTTTTAGTAAATTTCATATTAACATTTTAGGATTTTTATGGAGGACCAATTTCCTATCATAATAGATAAAATGATTTAATTATCTATAAAGGCTTTGTTATGCTGCGAAAATTTGCTTTCATTTCATAATTTTCATTTGATAGGAATGAAATTTACGTTGAAATGTGCACGAAGAAAACAATGTTTCATTTAAATTCACATTGATAAAAGAAATGGAGAACCATGATATTTATTTATCTGAAATGACATGCACGATATAAAACATTTAGTTTTTTCATATTTATAAAATGAGGAAAATCATTAAGATAGGAAGTTTGGAGGATCATGATTTCCCACGTCCTGAAATGAAAGTGCATTTAAAAATTTTAACATGCTGCTTTTCAGTTATTTAAATTTCAATAGATACGAAAATTGAAACATGATCGTCCAAAAAAAGACGGCAATATTAAGAAATTAATTCTTCAGTTGCGTTCAAACAGTTTTTTTATATAAAGTCATATAAAAGCCATGGTCTGTCACCAGCAGAGTTATAGAAGCATCGTATTTACTACAGATATAGCAACAGTGGTGTTTCTAGAGCAAGATAACCTGAAGGATTATAGATAATAGACTGTTTTGATCTCAGAGTTTTCCAGGAAGAATATCTTTAATGTCAAATTGGTACTTAAATGAAACAGAATCGAGCCGAAATTGAACTCAGCACGCCTAATTCAATTTCTGTGACGGTAACCATGACTCTGTCCGCCCCTCCAATCTGATATGTATCGCTTTTCCTCCTTACCTCGACGGCAATCAATAACCAGTTCTTGTTTTTTCTTTCTCTCTCTCCCATTCTACAGCGAGCAAACCAACTTTCTGATGTTCTGGCGGAAATTGTCAAAAATCACAATAATTTCAAAAATTTCCGTTTGCATTTCATCGGACAACTCTTCGTTCAGGGTAAGTAATATATTTTTTGGTAGTAACTAAAATCTCACAGATCTCAAATTAACCCATTACCTGCCATGAATCCTATTTGGGGATCTGTTAAAATTAAACTCATTATATATTATACCTTGTATTTATGTTGAATTGCTTAAATACATTGCATTTGCAGAAGTATATTTTACAACTCTTATAAATTTAAATTTTTTATTAGCCGTAAGAAAACAATTCTGTATAATTTTACATTTCATAGTAGAAAAATAATGACTATTTTGAAAAGTATTTTTTTTATTATTTCTAATCAATATTATTTTTTGATGTTTTATACACATATATATGTATTTGATGTTCTAGTTTCTATAAAGTTTCAAAGTATCAACTATTCGAATTTTAATATTGTATGTTGTTTTAACTCCTAAGACACCAGTCTGGGCCAAAAATGCGCATTAAAAAATTTGGCAGTTAATGGGTTAATAAAAATCAAATTGACTATTGAACATCTTAAAAATTAAAATATGACGTTAAATATATATATATATTATATATATATATATAGGATTGATTGTATACGGAATAAATTCAATAACCAACAATTACTATTCTTAAAAAGTACTCAAACAGAGTAGATTCAGATATAATTATTTATTTAAAAATTATAACATAAATATGTAATAAAATCACTACAAAAATAGCCATTTTGTTTCAACACCTCCAGTGTCTTATCAAGGGATGATGTTGAATGTAGAATAAATGGTTTTAAAAGTTTCAAATTCATTAACGATCCTAAATAAAGGGAAAACACTGTTACAAAAGCTAGAATGACATGAATCAAAACACAAGTATACGAGAATTCAAAAAACTTGACAATATAAGGTTATAATAGCTATTCCCAGATTTCCAGGGTTATACTAAAATAGAATTTATTCTAACTAATAAGTATTAAATTATATGATAAAATTTGATATTAAAATTAAAAAAAAAAATTACCAAAAAAAAAAAAAATTTAATCTCTATTAAGTTTAAAATTATAAAAACTGAGGAGAAAAAAAAAAAATACATATGTTATTCAATTTATTTTTTTCATTGAAATTTATTTAGAATAGATGCTAAAAATTTGGTCAATTGATAAAATGTATATGTTTATTAAAAGTTTCAATTTTTGGGTCCTTAAACTCAAAAAAAACAATACAAACACAATCAGATTATAATACATAAGCACCCAGACATATTTGAGATATATACACAAAAAAAAAAATGACGAGACAGGAAACATTTACAAAAGCTTTTTAAATAAAAAAAAAACAAAAAAAAACAAACACATACATACACACACAATTAAATGTGCATTCATTTTCTATATACATAGAGACCGATAAATACATATACACACATCCACATACATTGACCTTGACAATCTGATACAACAACCAAAAATATTAAAGTGTGGTATAATTTTAAATAAATGCTAATAACTTATTACAGGCAATATATACATAAAAAAAAATTTTTTTTTTAGATGAGAGAAACTTTGTTTAAAAATAATAAAATCTATAAAATAAATTATGTACTTTGAAATGATAAAATTTCAAAAATAATACCGGAAGACAATAATTTATATAAATATATATAATTATCATATATACCTATAAATATTATTATATAAATAATCCTTTTTTGTTAACATTATATATTTAAAAAAATTTTATGTATATATATAAGATGTGTATATATATATATATATTTATATATATATAATGGTATTTTCCCAAAAATTTTTATTTATTTAAATAAAAGTTATTTAAATAAATATTTATATAAATATAAATTTTCTTTAAATATAAAATTTTTTATAAAAAATGTTTTATTGGAAATTAAATTCTTTATATATATAAAAATAACATTAAAATATTTAAATATTTTTAGAAATTTTATATAAAATATCTGAAATTATATATAAATATCATATATTTATATTTATAATATTTATATATTTACATTATATGGAACTTTCTGATTAAGAAAAAAAGAATCACAACACATATATATATATATAATATATATATATAAATATATATATATATATATATATATATTATAAATATATATATATAACATATATATATATATATATATATATATATATATATATATATATAAATTATATATTTTACATAATAACCTTTAAATTATATTTATATTTTAAAAAAAATATAAATAAATATAAAAATCAATTTAAAAAAAAATCAAATTAAAAATATATATATTTATATATATATAAATACATATTTTAAACTTTTACATATATATACATACATATATATATACATATTTCCAAATACATAGTACTAATATATATATAGAAAATTAGAAAAATTTTACATCTTTTTTTAAATATAAAATATAATCTAATCACAAAAATACATAATCAAAAAACACATAAAAAACAAATTAAAGTTTTATCAAAAAATACAAATTAATTTTTTTTTTAATTCTAAATATATGAACATTTTAATTTTTTCATTTTCCATATATATATTCATTTATATATATATATATATATATTATTATATATTTAATAAATATAATTTATTTAAATATTATAAAAAATAGAAGATATATTGGAGAAAAAACATTTTATATATATTTTGAAAATTATTTTTTTTGATAACAATTATATATAAACATTATATAATAATACAAAATTCAAGTATACAAAATTACACATATGTTTAAATGATATTAATAATATAATCAATGACATATAATCAAAAATAGTAGGTTTAATTTAAATTTTTATTCTATTAATAAACCACAGACACCAATAGGTATTTTTTTACTGTAAAAATGTATAAGATAATAAATAATAATTATACAATATATATATATATAAATATATAATATGTTCATATAAATATATATGTATTTTTAAAATTTTAAAACATATATTTATTTATAGATATTTTAATCCATTAAATTATATATGTAAATATATATAATAATTAAAATATCTAATTTACAATAATTTATCAAATATTCATTAAATATATTTAATATATATTATACAGGAAATTAATATATATATAACACACAAAAACTTTTATAAATATACATATATTTAAATATGGAAATTTTAATTTAATTATTAACATGAAAAAAACCAAAAAAAAAATACAATACACAATTATATCAATATTTTTAAATTTGTGATTAATTAATAATTTGACACACATGAACACACACACAAAATATATATATATATAATAAATAAATAAATAAATTATATATAAATTTCAAAGTTTACAAACATATATGGATAAAATTTCATAAAGATTTATTTTGTATAAATAAATAGAATGAAATTTCAATTAATACATAGAAATTGTACATACAAAAAAATATATCCAAATTTTTAAGTTATCGATTTAAAAACATTAAATAAACAGTATATAAATAAATGATATAATACATACAACAAATTTTGTATAAATATAAAGAGAGAAAATAACTTACATTTGGATATATTTTTAAATATATATATAAATATATATTTATATAAATATATATATACATTTTATTTAAAAAAATATATAAATGAAACCTTAAAATATTTATATGAATATATATATATATAAAAATATTTAAAACATATATATATATACACATATACATACAAAAATTGTTGCAATAAGTTAAAACAAAAAATATATATATATATATTCACATAAAGATAATTTAAAAATATTTTTCTAAAAAAAATATAATTCATTTTTCAATTGAAGGATGATAATTTGGTTAAAAAAAAATAAAATTTTAATTATTAAAGCGACATATCATTCATTATTGAAAGTTAAAAACTCCTAAAAAAATTTTAAATTTAATATTAGTTGAATATTTTTTAAATTGTTAGTTCATATTAATTTTTTTGATCCAATATTTTTTTTAAATATGAAAGAATTAAAAAAAATATTTTTTAAGATATATAAAAGATATATAAATCATAAAATTTCTTTAAATAATGTATTTTTTTATTTTCATTTTTCCATTTAAATATATATTTATATATTAAACATTTATTTTTCATAAAAATATTGAATAATTTATATATATATATATTTATAAATATATCTTATAAAATATATAAAATATTGCTATTTTTCAATTATGATGAATATTTCATGGAATATATAAAATATTTATTTGTTTTTTTATATTTCATGATTTAATAGTTTCACAAAGTTTGAATTAAAATATCCTATTTTATAAATTGTCAATTATTTTTTATTAAAATAATTTTTCAAAAAAAAAATGGCATTTAATTTTTTTTTTAAATTTATATATATTAAAAATATATATATATTTATTTTATTAAATAATATATATATATATATATATAATATATATATTTTAATATATATTTATATATTATCAAAATTATATATATATAAATTTGATAATAAAAAAAATATAAAAAAAAATAAATTGTCATTAATCAAAAATTATTATTAATATATGATATTATATAAAAATTTATATTCATTAAAAACCACTTAATTTTTTGGTGAATAAAAAAAATTAAAAAATGCTTTTAAATTTAAAAATTGATAAATGATTTTAAAAAAAATAAGTCCAATTTTTATAATTCCCCAAATTTTTAAATTGATTATATCGTTTTTTAAAAAAAAACATCAATATTTTCTATCAGCACATCTTAACAAGTTTTGAAAAATGTTCATTGGAATTAATTTTTCTAATAGAATATTATGAAATTTTCCATTTGCAGAAATTTATTTTTTCATTATTATAAATAAAAAATTCGTTATATTCAGGTGTAAAACATTTAAAAAATATTTGATTATAAAATAAAATAATGAAAATATATATTTAAATAAAATTTATATATATTAATTTTGATTTCTAGAATTTCATTTTAAATACTTGGAAATTTTAAAAAAAATTAAGAAAAAAATATTAAGTTTGGGCAATAAAAATGAAAGTTGGATGAGATCATGTGAAAAATATTCTCAAATATATTATTTTCTATTTATAAATTATATATATATAAAATATTCAATAACAATTATTCAAATTTATATATATATATTATATATTATATTTAAGTTTTATATATAAAATATAAATAGATTATTATATAAATTTTCTTATATTTAAATATATATTCTGAATATATATACAAATTGAAGGAAATAAATTTCCTATATAAAATATATGTTTAAAATTTTTATATATATATATAAATATATATACTTAGAAAATATATATATTTATTTATATTAAAATATATATATATTTAATAAATATTTTAAAAGAATTAAAAAATCTCAAATATTATTATTAAATTTTTATTTATGATAGAATTTTTTTGGATTTATATAAAAAGATATTTAAGAATATAAAAATGGATATAAATAAATAATTAAATATATATATATAATATTTATTTATATTATATATTTATAAATATATAATATATATGCAAAAATCATATTTTTGAAAAATATATATATATATATATAAATATACAAAAAAAATATATTTAAAATTATAAATATGTTTACAAAATATTTATATACAAAATATAAATTATATATTTAAATATTTATAAATAAATATATATTTATTAAAATATATATACATATATATAATAATATATATATATATTTTATAAATATATAGAAATAATAATGGTAAGATAAATATATATATATATATAAATATATCTTAAATATATATATATAATGTATATATATATATATATAAAAATATATATATAAAATATATATATAAATATTTTTATATATATATATATATATATATATATATATATATATATATATATATATATATGTTAAAATATATATATATATGGTATATATATACGAGAGAATATATATATATTAAAAAAAGAGAAGAGAGGTGCCGCAAACGTTTTTGGTTGTAATGTGGATTTATTTAAAAAAATATTATGCTTTGTTTTCCATAATTTTACGACACGTGTTTCTGGTCTCTTGACCGTCTTCAGGTAAAAGTGGAGATTTCCACATATTATTAAAAATAATTAATTTTTCTTCATGTTCAATGTTAAATATTCTCGATATGAGACATTCTCTGTTTTGTTGTTGGTAATTGAATTTCTTTCTTGAATTATCAATGAAGAGTTCTGCGCGAAGGGTCATAAAACAATTAAGGTTGGTCCAGCGAAATGATAAATTAGTTATCGGCATTTTATCTTTTAATGTTTTACTGACCCCTATGTGTTCTTGGATCTGTTTCCATTTTGGTGTGTTTCTGTCAGCATGCGTGTATATATGCGTGCGTATATTTCCCTTCCATACATATACTGTCTTATTACGAGGAATTTTGTAAACTTATTTGTACCTATACAAGCATACACACACATACGCACATACACACTATCCCACAAAAATAATCTACACACACACACACACACACAGTAACACACACACACACACACACACACACACACACAAACACATATACACACATATTTCCCAAATTACATGGAACCAGTACACACACACACACACACACAACACACACACTATAAATTTTTGTTGTCATTATTATATCTTCATATACATACATAAATGTATGTATGTATGTATATATATATATATATATCCTCGTGAATCTCCTGTGTATGAATGTGTCCATGCATTGAAAATCCTGATCAGAATATTTGGTCCTTTAGAATAAAATATTGTGTATTTAACCCTTCAATTTATTTTTTTATTTATATATATATATATATATATATATATATATATATATATATATATATATATATATAAATATTGTTATATATATATATAATATATATATATACTTAAATATCATATATATATATATAAATTTATATATATATATATATAATATATTTAGATATATATATACAGATTGTATATATAAATATATATATATATATATATATATATATATATATATATATATATATACATAATATTTTCCTGATATAACTATATCAAATTAATTTCAATTATTTTGATCAGGAGGTTTTTAGGATATATGAAATATGAATAAAAAAAAAAATTCAACCTGACAAAATACTATTTAGATACAGAGGAAGGTTTGGTTTAAAGTTTGAACAAAAGATCAATTGTTCTTAAACAAAATAAATTTAAGTGATTTAAAACGATTAATATAAAATAGAAATGTTTCCATTTTATCAAACGTAAACAGATGAGAGGATATATAATAAAAATAACTAAATTTGACAAAAATATACTTATTGTCTTATCTTAAAACTTATATAACTGATTTGTGTAGGATATTTTCTATGACATTTCTCTGATATTCAGGCCGGTAAATGTTGTTAATACTGTTTATTATAAACAGAGCATTTACTTAAATATTTGTATCTATAAAAAGAATGTATAAACAGAAAATATATTAAAATAATTGTCGGAATTAGTCCATGTCATAATATATTATGTCATTTGTTTACGTTAAGATGCACTTCGAGCATATATGAACATTTGAGAGAAAGCATGGAAAGATTGTCGTTCAAAAAACAGTAATTTAACCTCGCAAAGCAGACGCTTCTCAGAAATAAAATGGTATAAAACATATATAATATGAAGGTTCCTATGTAGAAAAAAGGTTTTTTTGTCGGAGGACAATTATTTTCTTTGCGATTTCTTGGAAATTCAGGCCGATAAATGTTAATAGTGTTTATTAAAAAGGAGTGCATTTACTTGAATATTTGTATCTATGAAAATAACACATAAACAAAAAATAGATTAAAAGTAATTGTCGTACTTCGCCCATTTCATTATATTCGAATATAAGCTGGTGTGTACATGTGTGCTGGTGTGCAAACGAAGGCAAGCAAATAAATAATCTTTAAATTTATGGAAATTTATTGGAAAAAAGAAACTCAATTAGTTTACTGGCTTTTAGATATTAAACATTTTATAAGATGTGCAATTATGCTCTTACAATGACTTGGACAATTTTGCTGTTACATATATATATATATATATATATATATATATATATATATAATTATTTATTTAAAATATGATTCCATCGCTACATAAGAGTTCTCATGTTTCAAAACAAGAGCCGAAAACTTCAATATAATTATTTGAATTAAATTGAATTAAAGTACCAAGCTCTGTTCCATCTTCAAGCGAAATTTTTTTGGAATAACTAATTCCTGAAATTTACGCGTTTTATAAGCATATTCATTATTAAAATTAAAATTACTATGGTAACGGCTAGAGCAATTGTTTAAAGAAAAGGGGCGTAAGGGTTAATAATTTGTATGAATATCTCAGTTACAAAGACGTCAAGTCAGGGTAAGGTTGGGATGTCTAAATTTAAAGCGGAAGATGACATCGTCTAGTCTTGTTAAGCGTCTATCGAGATTTATTTATTTTTTTATTTTATTTTTTATTTTTTTCCTGAAAGGCTTTTGTTTATATAAAAAAACTGTCATAAGTCGCTAACATTTGTTTTTTTGACGACTTCATAAAGGATTTTCTTTTTTTGGTAGGGCATTTAAACTTTTTATTTAGACTATGGAGTTTAAAATTTGTATTTATTATTTTATTGTTTGTTTTTTTTATGCTAATTATTCAATGCGAAAATTTGATGATGTCGGCAAAAAACCGTTAACTCATGTCTATTGTTTAATAAATTTTTATTATTTAGAAACTTCTTTCCTATTTTCTATATATTTTTACACACAAACACACACACACATATCTATCTATCTATCTATCTATCTATCTATCTATCTATCTATATATATATATATATATATATATTTGTATGTCTGTACCTGATTTTTTTTCTTTTATATTGCAGTAATGGAGTACTGGCGAAAGAAAGGTGGAGCTGATTGGCAAATTATTGAACCTGCAGATGGTTTCCATGACAACCAGGTAAGACAAGTGGTTAAGAATAGATCTCCAAGTTGACTGGATGTGCGTTTAAGTAACAGATTTAAAAATCCATCTTCTAACGTTAATTTTATGGTTAATTATAATCTTAATTTATTGGTATTTGGTAACCGCTTCACTATTGCAGACGTGTATATACGTTTTTACCGAAAATGTCTTTTCAGACACGAGACGAATAAACACGTCCAATAGTTAGAAAATTGTTTATATAGGTCGATCTGGATTCTTTTTATGCGCTTCTGAGTCCAATTGTTAACTCACTTCTGGTCTCTTCCCCCAAGCTACGGGTTAATTAGTAAGACTTGTATCACTAAATCATTATTACCTCCCAAAACATTCTCACAATCTAAAACTATTTTCTGGCTTTAAATAACCTGCAAAGAGTTGATAAACCATAAAAATCAATTAATCAGTATATCCACTTACCCACTAAGATTTGAACTTCCTCACCTGGAGGCCAAAGTGCTTTGCATCTGAGAATCCATATCTGAGTCAAGATATTTAATATGAATTGGGGTTCCAAAAAGTTACTTCCTTCTCTCAGTCTGTCTATCGTTCTATTCTTTAAGCATTTTCGTCTTGTTCCAAGCTTATATTTTTAACTTAACCCTTTTCATTCCGTTTTACAGTGCCACATAGTGCCACCAACAAACGTATCTGTCTATATTTCTGAGATGTGGTATTATGTACATTATTTACATTATTCGGACTATTGTCCTCATCTTTGTCGCTATATTTATTACAACGTTTCGGCCGTTGTACGCTCCAGCCTTCTTCAGGTGGTTGGAATGTCGAACTGAACCCTTTATTTCGTTCGCTGGGGCAGACTGTTCTAGTTCCACGTGCCATGTTTTAATGGATGTCAGTTATCAGTCATCTCCTGTTAATTCCCCTCTGAAAGTTCTCCACTGCCTTAGTCGGGTAACTCACATTCTTTGGGTCCTGTCACTGGATCTAACTAACGCCTTTATCCACTGTGCCATGTGTCCTTGAGGAGTTAACTGACATCCATTAAACATGGCACGTGGAACTAGAAGAGTTACCCCAGTGATCGAAATAAAGGGTTAAGTTCGACATTCCATGGTTTCACCTGAAGAAGGCCCGAGTGTAATAATAGCCAAAACGTTGTAATAAATATGGCTACAAAAAATGAGGACAATAGTCCGAATAAATAAATATGTATGTATAATACCTCATCTCAGAAATATAGACAGATGTTGAAGGGCCGAAACGTTGTTATAAATATGGCGACAAAGATGAGGACAATAGTCCGAATAATGTAAATAATGTATCAACAAAAGTATTTCAAAATTGAATTTATAATCATCAGTCCATTCGACTTCTTTGAACAAGAATCTTTCTCCCGCTATAAAATAGAATTTGCTCAATTTATCTGTAAAAATTTTATTTATTTGCAGCTCGGTCAGCAGTTAACCGCAAAAATCATCTGGGATGACATCGAGAAGAATTTCCCAGAAATTCTTGGACCCGTGAACCCAAACAATAAGAAAATCAAGCAAATATTTGGCGACCAAAATGGTTATTGATTCTTAGAATGGTGAATTTTTTTCCCTATCTCAAAAGGAAAAAAAGAAAAAAAAGAAAAAAAAATTCCAGTTAGGTAAAAAAGAAAAAAGCCCCCCACCCCAGATAAATAAAAAAAACTAATTAAAAAAACAGACAAAACTGTCTTTCTGATCTTCCATGAATTTTCTGTCCAGCCTCGTTTTCAGTTTTTTTACAATCTACACAAATTAGCATCAAGTTTATTATATGCGTTTTATTTACTGATCAGCATGCTCAGCTTGATTGTCATAGCGTTGATCCTTCTTCCGGTAGCTTCAGTAACCTTCTGGGAATTTTTTTCAGTCAATGGTTGTAAATTGTTCTCATTCTGCATTTAGGGCATAGGGGAGATAACTCATATCAGTTAATAGTCATCAGTCTTATCCAACATTGTGTCGCTTGTCTGTTTCTGCATTTCGCTTTCCATATTTAAGGGAGGTAACTCATATCATTTTGTACTAGTCAGTCTCATTCAACATTGTGTCGCTTGTCCGTTTCTCCCACTGAACTAGAGGGATATGACTTACCTAACCCTGGGATTGAACTCAAAACTGACAGGGAACCAGACAGGGTTTAAACAATTCTTTAATCAATGAGGGTCTATATCTCATAGAAAGCAAAATTAGAACAATCTACAACATTGAATGTTGCCTCTTCTCTAAATCTATTAGACTGACTCAGGGTAAACATTGTTCTTTTTTTTTTTTTTATTTAAAATGGTCAGGGGAGATAACTCACATCAGTTAACACTAGCCAGTATTATTCCCCTTTCTACGTTTTATCCTTTTTTTTTCTACTAAAGCAGAGTATGCAAATTTTCAACACTATCAGACCGAGGGATTATACTCACAACTACGACGGGACCAGATTGTTTTTTCAGACATGTGGCTATGTGATAGAATAGGGCTATTATATGTTATGATATGCTATGTTTGAGCTGGTCTGCTCTCACTTTTTAAAACTGATTGGAAGTATAATTTTTTTCTTTTAAAATTTCATCACCACCTCGCCTTCATACGTATGTGTAATTACATCAACATAAGCATCACTCTAGTTTGATGAAATCCGAAAGGCCGAAATGAGACACACGAAAAATCTTTTCCGTTTTGTCGTTCATTTTCCTAACAATCCCTTTCTTCCTGATTTTCAATACATCCCTAGAATAAAATCCTTAGCAATGCATTTACATTATACAAATGATAGCCCTATTCTATCAGTAATGCTTGCATTCATTCCTGACCACTGACAATCCCTCTCTTCCTCATTTTCAATGCATTCCTATAGTAAAATCATTAGCAATGCATTTCCATTATACATATAATAGCCCTATTCTATCAGTAACGCTTGCATTCATTCTTGACCACTGACAATGCCTTTTTTTCTGGTTTTCTACGCATTTCTATAGTAAATCATTACTAATACATTTGAGTGGGGAGAAATGACTTTAGAACGAATCGGCAACCAAATCTTAAACAGAAATCAAGGGATAAACCTCTACTCCTGATAAAACGTCCAGGGAGAAGCGTGGACCAGAGAATGGACGGGACTATCTACTCCTATTGGAAAAAAAAAATAAATAGAAAATAAAATTTTAGAGTTTCTCTGGAGACATTAAAATTATAGAGTTGAAGCAGACTTTGGAAAGAACATAAAGACCCAATCCTAATCAGGAAACAAGGAATCAACTTCTGTTCTTGTTCAAAAGACTGGGAAGGAGCCTGTAACGGACGATACACCTACCTGTCTACTCCTATTGAGAAAGAAAAATAAATACTAAATAAAATTTCAGAGTCTAGAGGGAGACGTTAGAAGTATAGAGTTGAAGTAGACTTTAGAAGGAATCGGAAGCCCAGGAAATATGGGAAATATCTACCCCTGTTCAAAAGACTAAGGATGAGTGTGAACCGGACGATATTCTCTCACAAGGAAACAAAAACGTCAAAAGATACTAACAATAATGTTTAACGGTGTTTTGGGGTTTAACTAATGAATTAATATCATCTGTGGTTAATCAGAAATTAATTTTGACTAATTATTCTGTTTAATTGGTCAGATTTTGGTATGGGAGTCCAGCTGAGACAATATTTCAACAATATTTTGTATATAACCTATTTCCTCAAATGAAATATCAGATTTTTTTTAAAGGCTAATTGGCTTTTCAGTAGCCTTTCATGTGTGTGTGTGTGTGTGTGTGTATTTGTGTGTGTGTGTGTGTGTGTGTGTGTGTGTGTGTGTGTGTGTGTATACATTTACTGTCTTTTCCAAAAGTTGATTGTAAAGATGTAAATTTATAAAAATAAAAAAAAATATTTTTGCATTCATAATTTCCAAATCGGTGTTATTATTATTATTATTGTTATTATTGATTTCCGAAGCATGCACATTTCCTTTCGGGTCCCAACCAGAGACCTAAGGTCAGAAGTGGCTTCATGACATTTTCACTGATCATTTTTGTAGAAAAAAAAACATCCTAAGACCACACACGTTTTACATAGATAAAGCCTTTCGTAAGATGCGAGCTGTACTTGCGAGTAGAATTTTATGCATTTCTTTAAGGCATGGGTTACCAGGAATCTCTTCAATGAATCTATCAGAGTCTTTTTCAATCAATCTGAAGGCCCCAACTCGATTGGAATTATTTATGTCCTCACGTAGCACATATTTTTATAGTAAAAATCATTTGCAATGTCATTTTTATAGTAAAAATCATTTGGCAATGCATTTTTATAGTAAAAATCATTGGCAATGCATTTTTATAGTAAAAATCATTGGCAATGCATTTTTATAGTAAAAATCATTGGCAATGCATTTTTATAGTAAAAATCATTTGCAATGCATTTTTATAGTAAAAATCATTTGCAATGCATTTTTATAGTAAAAATTATTTGCAAAAAAAATAAATAAATAAAAAAAATATCGCGTATATTTTACATAGATAAAGACCTTCGTAAGGTGTCGGCTGTACTTGTGAGTACAATTTTTTGTATTTCTTTAAAGCATGGAATACCAGGAATCTCTTCAAAGAGTCTATCAGAGTCTTTTTCAGTCAATCCGAGGGCCCCAACTACAAATGGAATTATTGATGTCCTCATGTACCACATTACCGAGATTTCTACCTCAAGATCCTTGTATTTTAATAGTTTTTTTAAAGATCTTTAAAGATACATTACAATCTGTAGGTACAATCATGTCAATCAGTCAGTTATGTACCATGCGTGATCATAAATCTTTCGACACATGACTGACATATGAAGTCAAATGTAAGGATTTTGTTTTACAACAAGTACTTATAAACAAGAATAAAAATGTTAGTTTTTCAATTATTTTTAAATTAAGGGACACTCATATATATTCATCAGACTATGTAAACTATGGAAGTAAGTGACGTAATTTAATGTCTAATAAGCGAAAGTACTAAAGCATGTTGTTGTCAATTTTTTTATGCAATTGGTATTTAAAGATATGAATAAAACATGTCACACTTAGAAGAGAAAGTAAATTACATAGACGGAAATTTATCAAGAGTGCCGCTATTCCATCTTATCAAAATGTAAATCTACGCCCTGGATATTTTCAAATATATTCGTTCTTGATAGAATTACTCCTTTCCTGGGGCAACATACATAAAATATAAAATTATTAAAAATTAAAAAAAAACATTTAAATTCACCAGCTGCAATTATTTAAAATATACAGGGTGTCCATAAAGTTCGTGTGCACTTTTCGATAGAAATAATCTGTAAAAAATGTTATAAAGTTTAATGTACTTAGTTTTAAGTATAGCTAAAATAACTAACGTGATTTCAGGCATTACTGTAAATCAGTTGGCAAATGTTTTCTGTGAACTGCAAAATCGTATTACCCTTTGTATTGCCAATGATGGGGAACATTTTGGAAACTTAAATAGAATTTCAATAAAACCTTAAAAATATAGATTTACTTCTTTCTAATCCTTTTTACAAATTATTTCTATCGCAAGTACAAATAAAGTTATAAATTTTTTAAAGTGCACCCGAACTTTATGAACACCCTGTATAATATATAAATTTATCTAAAACTAAAACAATTTAAATATTAAATTAAAAAAAAATAAAATTCAACAGCAACATTCTTTAATCAGTTTTGTTTATTAGACATTAAATTATGTCACTTAGCATCTTCCATAGTTTATTTAGACGTGTCAGTTAAACTGATGAATATTCATGATTTTTCTTAAAATTAAAAAAATTTTTTGAAAATCTAACAATGGGGGGAAAGTTATAGCATCCTTCATAATTTACTAATTTAACAGCCGAAGAAAAATAAGTCGGCTAAAAATAGGTTTCATTCTATTCACAATCTCTATCTCTCTCTGGAATGCCTTTGGGGGACATTATATTTTTTACGCTCACTAGATGGCGTTTCAAAGAACCTTTTGTAGGCATAGAAAAGACGATTATCTCCTTTCGTCGAGATGGAGTCACGTGGACCACGTAATGGCAATTAATTAGAGTGACGTTACTTTATAGAATGAATTCTGATATTCAGTCAATTTCAGGAGTCAAACCGAGCAGTTAGTTTTTTTTTTTAGCACGAACGTTTATGGCCAAATCTGTAAAATTTTTTAATTTTCGAATCTGAATAGTTAAAATATGGCTTCTCCAGAAACACAGGATTTTTATGGTAATTATTTCAAAGTATAACCATATGATTTCGTTTTTTTTCACATAAATAAATTTAAAGTAGTGTTACGAACTTGTCTATATTTTATAGATGAACCACGGGCTTAAAAAAAAAAGGATTTTTGGGATTTTTTTCTCGGTCTAAACCAGAAATGGAAGAAGACACAAGGAATCAACGAAGAACAGACACAAGACGATGGATTTCAAAATAAAACATTTATTTATAAAATATATAGACCGATAAAGAAAGAAAAAAGAAAAAAAAGGGAAAAAGAACATAAAAGAACAGAAGGCACGATGAATACATATATATATATATA